GGGGAATTCTATCTTTATTCTATACACAGGAAGGAGAATGCTTAGAGAGTCTAGTGAAAAGTCACTGCGTCAATTAAACTATGAGGTACAAGGATTTCRTCCATYATTGCAAAGAATTCAAAAACATGAAGGTTAGTAAAACMAGAAAACGACATGACAAACRAAACGCGATTTAATTGAAAAACAACAAACATAATGCAAAATCAACAGCAGCTTAATKTAATACCCGTCCAAACAGATCCAAAGGTTTTGTATTATAGCAAAATGCATTTTTTTAATGTTGATACAGCTAGYGACGCACTTGTACATGATTGTYCGCTTTTTCTGCCGAAGAGATTTTTGWACACRCCCTCTAGTACGCCCTCCAAAGTGCAATTTTAACCGATATGTGTTGAATACATGTTGACGTTTGACGTATCGTGATATATTTGTAAATCATTACATAACATCATTTTCTTTGTGATGTTTCTGATCTGTTGACTTTTCTTTGAGATATCCAGGTTCGTAACGGTTACATGTGAACGGTCGTATATTTTTGCATCAGGGTAAAAACACTATTGTGCCCGTCGACCCAGAGCTGATAGTTGGCCCGCTGTTTACAGGAACGAAAACCCCGGGACTTTGAAAAACGTAATTTTAAGTTAAAGAAAGAAAGTTAAACTTTCACAGAGCACGTCGAATTTCGTATAATTTGTGTGTCCATTTCACTGGGAAAAATCGCGCAATTTAAAAGGTTGTAAATTTGATGTAAATATTATGTAAGTGTCCAAAAGGGCGCGATTTTTTGCAGTGTTTTCATGTTTTCTTCATGCTACGGTATACGATGACACTGACATGGAGGGTGGGAGTGAAGTGGAATTTTTGTCAGTAACATTTTGTGTTAAGTGTAGTAAATATTTATCGTATCAAAATGCATGTTGTCCGTGATTGTAGTGATTAGTACATTGATTGTTATTCTCAGATCAACTGATTCGTGTAGAGGTTCCATCAAGTAAAGATAATGCGTCCATAAMTATGAACGGACAAAAGGTAAGAAAACCACCTTCWTCGTTAGCTGGTTCAATTAAGGGTCGATTTAATGGTTGATTACTYTGCATAACTGTACTACATGACCACAAAACTGATGGAAATCATACCGCAAACTTTCAGTGGCACCAATGCTTATTTTGAATCGAATTGGTTTTAGTACCAAATACGGTATTAAAAATTTGCTACATAACTAACACAGCTGTTAGCTTTGCTACATGGTTTTAATGCCGGCAAATCAAATTGTAAAATAATGGCTTTACGTCTATTCTTTTCACTTAAGAACTATGAAGTTAAAAAGTCATCTTTATTTCAGCTCAGCCACACTGCTGAACGACACAACCACACCCTGTTCACAGCCAAAAACAAGCTTCATCCCTGAATGCAAAATACTGGCTCAACACGGTAAAGTGCTATAGGATACGGGGGCTTGGATCTTCGCGGTAACCACCACAGCTGTTTCGATTCGTTTGCATTCGATGGTTGGATTCGTGGGAATCCGTGGTCATCATTGGTTGTCCCGCTTCGCCTTACTGTAAACATAAAAACCAGTCACGTGATTCCTGTTTGTTCAAGTTAGAAGTTAGCACTTACCGTGATGCATCGCGGTTATAGCTGAATTTCAAATATTTGAAATATATAGAATATTTCATGGAAAGTCCGACGCTTTGTGTTGGTTTTCTTGTAGCTTGAAATTCGATTTCTGATTTTATGCAAATTAGCTAAAATGTAAGTATTATAAAGGAAGATATGATTAATGCTTTTCACTTTATGGGCGAAAAATCACGTGTCGTGAGCGTTTTTGTTATATATTCAGAAGTCATGACAAGTGTGGTATAGTTCTCGTGCTTCGTGTTGTGCCCTGTGTCGTTTACATGTGTCCCATATWTTCGGATATAATTTTCCATTTTTTCAGGCGAAAATAGGTATTTCATGTGGAATTGATTAATCTCAGACGGACTTTGATTCTGGAAAAAAACATACTTATGTTTTCTTCTTATTATAAAACAGTATATTTCAGAATCATACAATAATGACGATTTTAATGATGCATCACAGGCGAATCTCTGTATGACAGTAGACTCTTGTCTCTATAATTTACAATTATTGTGTTATACCCAATATTTCAAAATACACTGAGAATCAAATATTGAGATACTGTATTCTCTATCCTAMGACCGAAATGCATTGTGTCATTTACGTAMYAGGCGTTRCAGAATGACAAATCTAAACTTAATAAGCCCTTTTGCATCATTTGGTCATGMAACTATTGCTTTTTCCATTGATAGTGCACAGTTCGTATACAGTCGTCACTCTGAAAAACCACTAGCCTTCTAGAACTTTGATACAACAACCAATAGTGTATCTCGGTATTAAAGTATACTCTATCTGCAATCTTCCTGAATGTTTTCTGAAATAGCTTGAATGCAGGAGGTGCCGACCTGTTCTTCTAAATARCTGTTCTTGTACGAATTTTTTCCTGGGAAAGGGATTTTGCGCTACACATTGTTGGCAATCTCACAAGCAAATGTATTAATAATAATTTTGTTCCTGGCAAACGTTTTTAAGCTAAAAAAAAGGCTCATATAACGTTTTTATGGTCATATATTTTTGTTTTAGTTTATGGGAAATTTTTATTTTCCTGGCAAAAATTCTTAGAAATTTTTCCTTGCCTGGAGAGTTCTTTTTTCGTGAATTTCTTGATCGCAACCAGTTGTGACTTACAGCTGGCGGGCTGGGACATAAGAACAGATATCTCCCGGCCAGGAACCCGTCGGCTCCTCCTATATGTTCTCAGTTTAGCGTGTTATATGGACAAGGTGAGTGGTGCTTTATACATTTAACKTTTTCGGCTCCAATGTTACCATCTCTTGTATACACCAAGTTGTTGGTCACATGCCGGGCAAGTATGGGTCACATCTTTACACGAATCCATTAAAAATGGTATCAAGCAGCAGCCTGCGAACCCCCTGAAACCAACACGAACTATTAATAATGCTTTGTATATACGATGGTAATATAACTGGTTACGATATTTTAAAGGGTCGTGGATCACCGGCATCCCTTTCGAGCTTTGGTTTCGTTTTGAACGAAAATATAGGTACATTGAAATATAAGCAAAAACTCACTCTTTATTATTCCTTTATATGCTATATGAATGGGGATATTGTAMGATTCGACGGATGTAAACGGTTGCGAAAAAGAGGTTTTCCCGCTATTTTTCCATATTTGAAATCTTAAACATGACCATATATTTCTTTCATCCTGGTGGACCATGACCGTTTAAGACCAAAGCATTGACTGCTATAAACRTTTTTTCTGTAAAATGTGGTGTTTGCTTGGMAAACATCATTTCTTAAAACAAATGCACGTCGCGTGTAACCATTGTGACGGATTTATTTACCGTCGAAGGTGGTTGAAAGGACACTTCATCGTTTGCCTGACGATGGAAGTCATTGTCTATAGTACAAGGCTGTTCCAAAAAGGGTACAAACGAAGAGAGAACGAAGCCTTGGCGGTACTGGCTAGTGCACGGCCGAAACACGCACTGACTATAAGAACATTACTAAATACAATTCAAAAGTAACTACTAGTACAGCTATTGCGAAAAACGTTGTCGGGGAGAACGGCGATTGTCGAAGGGAGATCCGCTCGACCGAAAGGGACTATGGTTACACTGTTTGGATTCACATTGCATAAAAGTGGAGACTAAATGGAGCCAATTATGTACAACAGATGATCAGAATTTTTCAGTACAGTATAAATCATGGCCTAGCTCTTTTGGTCGCGTGGAATCGAACTTTTTTTGAAAGACCTGCATTTCTACAGCAAGCTTGGATGTAGTCAAAGGTTTATGTAGTCGAACTTTCAGGTCGTGATTTCCAAATTTAAAGAAATCTATTACTGAGTCTTCTTTTAAATAAAAAGCTYTCGCTAATTCCTTTTCAGTTTTCTCTGAAAAGACACCATTGTGACATTAACTTGACGCGTTAGAATTAGTTTGTCAGTTTTGAACAAAATAGAAAAACAACTTTAGTGGAATTTAATTTGAAGTTTTGGAAAATGTTGTGCAACATAATTCACTCATACAAACGATTCATGGAACTCCRTCATTACGAATCTTGGGAAGTAGTGCGATAAACAAAAAGAGTTGTTAAACTGGTCTCTCGCCGTTTAATAATGTATAAAGTGAAACTATACGTCATTACAACATTGGCTGTTTTTAATTGAATATTTTCACTTCTCGATACGATTGTGAAGAATTCAAAACACGTTTTGGATGAAATAGTAAATAATAAGAATGAAATTTCCTCCTGGCGTGTATATCCAGTCAAGCACCCCATCGTACTCACAAGAGTATTTTAGTTGAGTGTGTTTCAATATCTAAGAGCCTAAGATCGCCGAGTCGCACTCTTCAACGTCACTTCCAGTTGGTCTGTTAACTATTGATGATTATGGTTAGAAATTACTAGAAATGTTTTGAGCATTTCTCGTTCAATGCTTTGAACAATGCGACTCTGCTGTTTAATTTCTAGACCGTACTTTTTGTTTTGAACAACAATTCAGTTCAAATCAGTATACCAATTGCGTGAAAGAAATTTCTTGACCCAAAATGTTTTAGAAGTTGAACTGAATTGCCTTAGTAAACATTTTAAAGTATATTTTAGGAGCTTCATCTGGTCTAAATTCTTGATCAAATGAGTCCACATCAACCTTAGTAAACCAATCTAGTTGAAAATCCTCGAAAGCGACTAATAGTTGAATATAATAATTATTTTCTTGGTTAGATAAGTACGTGAATGAATAAAAGCTACCGATRAATTTAAATGATAATTTTGGGAGTAGAAAGAAAAAAACTATTAAAATTAAAAGTCAACTTTTATGAAGTACATACCAACTTAAAAGTATTTTATGTATCAGAAGTCTTACCCGGCACAACAAATTATTCCTCCTGCAAGCCAAGTCAACGTACCAGGTGTGTAGTTTGGCTTTGTGATAATTCCTTGTTGGCAATAAGGGCAGAACATGCTTACAGTGTCTTCGCCGAAGTGCATGGTGTTCACAGAGGTTGCTATTGTCACGGGCTGTGTTGTAGTTGGCGTATAGGGCGCTCGAACCGGTTCAGTTGTATTCATGGCTTGTGGAAGAGACTTACGGCGATATCCAAATTTTTTGACAAACTTTGAAGTACGCTAACGTTTATCAAATTTCACCTGCTGATTATATTTATATCATGTTTGACGCGCGACGTCACTCGAGCGAAAGGAAACAATGCAGAAACCATCGTGTTTTATTTATAGTGCATCCGTCAAAACAGATTCCCATTCATGTTTTGTGAAGTGTCGGTATGCATCCATTTATAGTCGTATTCGAAGCTAAAATTAGTAGTGATTTCCCCCGGATTATTTTATTATTTTTAGTGCCAAAATTCACGCGCGCCTCAATCACATCACACTTGAAAAACACTTGTCTTTCTTGCACTTTTTTGACTTTTTTTTCTTGTCTTTCTTAACTTTAATACAACATTGGAAATTAAGTAGGTTGGGAGGATCACAACAGAGACAAATTACCGAAATGTAATTCTCATTGGTCAAAGAGTTCACTGACAAGACTCATTTTGGAATTAAACGAAAACGTTACGTTTGTTTGCAAAACGATTTTCAGAGACAATGATGCCCATGCTTAGACTCTTCCAGAAACTCCTGCTCGGCTTTTGATGAGATAGGGCATGCACGGCCGAAATGCATTGTGGGTATAAGAGGACCACTCGCCTTTGGCTCATTTTTTATTTTTATTCAGAGCTATAGATTACGATTATGACGAACTGTCTGATAAAATGATTGGAATATGCTTGCTTCTTTGCGAATTCATTCGCCTCACCTGGTTTGAATCGTAAGCGAAAACCGCAAATGCAGCAAGTGCACGCATTTAAAATAACATAAGTGCAAAATTTCATTTCTTGAACCCGGCTAAAAAGCGCGTTATTGCTTGAATGACTTGAGACGTTGTTTGATGAATCATATAACAAGGGATTTTCAAATTCATTGATAAATATTGTAGCAAGCAGTATAGTGACATTTTCAATCGTGTGATAGTTGAAATGTATTTATTTGTAACCATAGATTTTTATGCTACATTGAATACCAACATAAAAGATAGAAAAAAAAGACAACTTCAGTCGTATACTCTAAAAAGTATACACATGCGGCAAATATCAACTTGCTTCTACAAAATGTAGGAATAAACTTATCGAATTATATATATATACAAAAACTTTTTCTCCCCACCCCTCCCCAGCTGTGTCGATGGCTAAAATTAGTATTTAACACAATAGTATTTTTTGTTAAATTATAAAACACAACAGAATATATTGTGTCTATATGTTTTGTCATGGCTTTTGCAAATTTAAAGTAATTAATAATATTTAACAATTACAACTGCTTTCCAAAATGTTGCACAAAATTTCAAGAATTGTATAGGTAGGTGTCTTTATCAATCTAACTATCAATAAATGCAAAGAATTGGTGTTTTTCTATTCAATGTGTGCAATAGTCCTCAACTTGGATGTTCCTCTTCCTGTTTCTGATTTGTGACCATAAGGTTTTCAAAAAGGCATGGCAGAAAGTACTCGAATGTGTAGCCAAATTTCCGAAATCGAAATTTGGTTTTACCACTTGTCAATGAGGACTATCACAGCTGGTCTTACTACTGTTTGTTCTTTTGAGCGACAGTTTCGAAAACAGCTGTAATAAATATAAAACAAAATTATCGCAGCAAATGAGAATGGTTCTAAATTAATGCCATTTCTTTCCATCGGCCATAGTAACTGTCAGACTATGATTTCCAGTGACATTTCATGGCATTACTAAGGMAAGAGTGATTACTCCAAACACTTATTATAATCATAATCCATGTCATGCCACAGGAAGACATAGTATAACATGTTTAAATATCATAATACTTGATGTTTATGATAAGATATAGATTATGCTTTGAATTCTTTTCTACAAAAAATTATGTAAAGATTCCCAGAAAACAGGAAATTTGGCATTCTCTTTAAACATATACAGTAGCTTATTAGTTTGTTGGGTTAATTGAATTATAAATAAATAAACATGCAATAAAAATGCTACATGGTTTATCTAAATTAGGAACATCACATCGATATAAAATGTTAATTTAGGATTGGATGATTGACATTTGAAGATAATGTGATATCARTAAATGGCACTAGAGCATCCAAGTGTTGCACTGATCAAAGAAAAAAAATCAGTTGGATTTTCTAGATGTGTCTTTAACGGGAAATTGTTCATCTTGAATGGTGGAAATTCCTATAATATTACTGATATTATCTGTGAAAGTAATACTTGACACATATCTATAAATTTTCTAAAAAAAAGTTTCAATGTCCTTTCAAATCAATCCTATCAATTCTTCATTATTATAAAAAATGAAAAAAAAAATGAAAAAAATTTGAAATTTTGACACTAAATGAGACATTATCTTGACATTATCTAATTCAATAATTGCTTGCCATTAATAAAATATTATGATTGCTTCGTCTAGGCTAGMTGATCACACATGCCCTTTTGGTGTGACTGTGGCAAGTGCACCTAGGTATATATATTATTAAATAACTCGGTCTAAAATGAATGTCTAAATGGATTTCTGTTTTAAAAGGAATATTCTATCAATAAATAAAGCAGATTAGCATCCCAAAATTTGATAATTTTGTCTAACTAGTCAAAGGTAATTGACTGAACCTGACTGAAATAATTATATTTAATTAGATTTAGACAAAAAAATTAGACAATTTTTGTGTGTGTGTATAATTGCATATGTACATAGTATGAAAATGCCAAATTTCCAGCGCCCCAGGATCAACCATGCTTCATTAATTAGTAGATCTATATTGTTTTATTGGCGGGACTTGTATAATAAAATATTACTTGCATTAATAAGCTGATGGTTTATGTTGACTTCAGGCTCACCATCTTTACCAATTATTTCTTCTTTATTTCTCCAACAATAACTAATAACATCTTTTATTCCACTGATAAAGTTCATCTTTGTTCAGCTGCTGCGCTATTTATGAGGAGAACAAAAGATTTCCACATTGTCCAATGGATTACTATTTCTGTTGACTTTTTGTCTTGCTGCTCTTTTGGCAGCAGCTAGTCTCTGTCTAGCAGCAGCTCTTTGCTTAACTTCTAAATCTTTAATTTCCTCTCTAGACCTTTGTCTTGTCAAAGGCACTTTTCCAAAGGATGACTCTCGTTTTAGAGATGACCTTTTTGTTATTGATGATCTTCTTGTTACTTCCTCGCCATTTTCTTTTCTGGGTGACTTTTCAACCCAGCCATTCTGTCGCAGCTCTTCAATGTTATCAAACATCTTTGTAACATCATCAACCTTGAAAAACATCAGTGGAACGATCAGTCATTGTTTTAACCAATCGATCATTCAGTAAACCTATCAGAACGTCTGTCAATCACTCAATCAAACATTCTTTTTGTCAGCCATTCAATCAATCATTGCTCACTGATTCACTCTTATTAATAATTGTTTAATCTTCAGTTCATTTCAAGAATCAATGTCCAGTTGATCAATTCATTATCTATAGAGAAAATTAATATTATAGATATGACTGGATAAATAGCTTCAATTCCAGGTTTGAAATTATCTTCAAAATGACCAATAAATGTGGGAATACTACAAAATGTTGGCCAGAGGATGTTAAAAGGAACAAAGGCAGACATCACTAACTATTATCTAATATATACTATAAATAAAAATGCAAACAAAATAAAAATATATATTTTATATCACTACCTGAATCATGACCATGTCCCAAAACCCTGCAAGATCTGCATTTGTAGGTCTCCTACCATTACTGCTCCCAATACCCTGCAACCAAAAATACCTTTGTGAAGAAACAACACATTCTTTTCATTTTGAGAACAAGGTATAATATTGCTATGAACTAGGACCTGAACTTGACCTTCACAGCTATGTTCTAAGACATGACACTTTTGCATTGAAGAACCTAATGCTAGAATTTTGTTTTGTGTGYAATAATTATTACTCTTCAACTACAAGCAAATCAGATTTTTTTGTCAAAAAAGACATGCAGACTGTCATCCAAGAAGGGCATGCACTCCAAAGAAAAGACCGCAAAGGACATGTACATGTACAAAGTTAAGTGAAAAAATTTAAATGTTCGAAGGATAGTTATAAACCATGCTGGCATACACTTTATTTTTAAGAAAATTGTCAAAACGTTGGACAAATAATGGTATATCTGTGGAACTTGAGGGTGTATTCAGAAAATGTGCTCTCCATTTCCTTGACATTGTATCAGTTTTTTTATACTGCTTTGTTTATTGCACTATACAGCACATAAATGATGTGATATTTTTCAGTTGTTTTGATTCAGCAGGGATTCCAGCTTGAATTCATTTAATGCATGGATGGGCAATCAGATGTGGAGAACACAAAACACAAGAATGTACAAAGCTACTGCCAACATGGCAAGTCAATGATTAACTCACAGAACAGGAAGCTTAAAGAGTTTTAAAAATGTTTCATTTCAAAAATATTATCATTGCATGATTGCTAAAGTCATCCATGCACAACAACTGATTAAATACTTAGAAGCACTTAGTGAGGTAGAAAGCCGTGTAGCGAAGACAAAAGAATATCTTGTAATCTCTTTATTTCAGCACTTGAATACAGTTGACTTTGTTGAAAAGGTACGATGTGATAGCAGAGCAACAAATTCCTTATTAAAGATAAAATCCTATGGATTTATTAACCCAAAATCATTTGACAATGTCAATTAAATAACAAGGATCTCCTGCAGGCTACAGGCTTACTTTTAATCCAAAGAAAAGTCATTGTCTCTAAATAATAAATGTATATCCAACTAGACTAATTTCACATGGATACTTACCAAGTTGAGTTCACACAGTCCTTTGAATTGTTTAAACTTTTTTGTGGTTAATAATTTTGATTTTCCAATTGCTGCTCTGACTTTCCCACAAACTATAAAATAGACAAATGACAATTAACAATTGTAAAATGACTTTTAAAATGACTAGTATTATCCATGGATATTAGGGAGAGAACGAAGACRAGGACGAGGACGAAGTTGATGAGCGCGCACAACTTTGATGTCGTCAGCTTGCTCGCGCATATTCAAAAGAAATTCCTAATTCACTCTGAAAAACTAATTTGACATGGTTTAGTTTATGCCAATTTTAGCACAAATTAAGGATATTTCCGCACACTCATTGCTCAAAGTAAAACAAGGGATGTCCAAAGTCGATGTTCGTGCATTTTCTTCAGATTTTCAGTGCAAAATAAGTMYAAGAAAAGCTGATAAAAACTTYGTTTTGGACAGAACGAAGTTTGGTAAAAACTTCGTCGTCCTCAGCAAGGAGACAACGAAGTTGCGTGACATTTCATGAGCTATCGTGATCTGTAATGGCAAATTTTCGAAACTTCGTTCTCGTCCTCGTCTTCATTCTCAAATCTAAAGCTCCCTATTTATATGTCCTGGAACACAGAGCTGAATGGAGCTTTGGGGAGAATTACACTGAATATTATTATAATATTTATGATAATTGTAAACTTTCATGTAAAATTTTATTTAGTGATCCAGGTAGCAACCTTTTATTAAACAATTCCAAAATGAGAGGGGACTTGGGAACGATGAACATTAAGTGATCTAATCCTTGCCTGACTCTAGACCTTTGCCGATGAATCATGGAGAACTTGATAGTGATAATTGTTTTATTTTATAACTATTGGCTGCCAAAACTCTATGGGAAAATATTAATTACAAATTTAAGCTTTCTTTAATTGTTCTTCTTAGAAAGCAAGTGGAAATGGAATGCTAATTGACAGCTGTTTAAATTAATATTTGATATTGTGATGGTTACTACGTCTTAAAATGTGTCCCACTAATTTTTATAATTTATTTTCTAATGTTAAATCCTRATTTGTAGGCTGACTGTTTTTTTTTTCTCAATTTGAATGCAATTTGGATGCAAAAATAAGGTATAATTATGAATGTGGCCCCAAGACATTCTTTGTGAAGCAGACTGAAACTATGAGAACATAATTATGAGAAATCACTAAAATAATATTGCAATAGTTAACTGCTGTGTGACTGATATTAAACTTGGCATATTCCCTTGTTTGCACGTCAATAATAAAAAATTTCATTATGGCTGTTTTCCAAGGAATAGGTGTTAGGGAGCATTGTTGATGATTCCTCTATTATAACTGCAAGTAATAAATTCACACATGAACAGATTTTTAACAAAATGTTGTATAGTTATTGACTAAATTGTGGAAATCACATGGATAGGAATAAAAAAGGCTGGCCCTAAGGATCCGGCACTATCTGTTGCCTTTTATGGCCAAAACCTGTTTCACAAAATCATCCTTTAAATATGGAATAGAAAATATCAAATGATGAATTAATAGGTTTGTAATGTTTTCTTAGCCAACAGGAAAATGGAATATGAGATAGACAAAATAATAAAATAATTCCAAAATATAGTTGATAAAGAAATTTAACTGTTCAAACTGGTATTGCACCACAACACTAGGCTGCAAAGACCTGCATGGTGATTTATTTGGTATTTACTGAAAGCATTCATAATTATTTTATTTCCTTCTTCTTAATACTCTTGGCTATGACAACATAAAATATATATAAGTAGTTGTATATCATGTGTAGGAAGACATATACAAGTAATGCAGACCCAGTGATATATTGCTGTCAAGAACTCCAGCTGTCAAAATACGAATAGATGAGTACTGGCAATGGGAAAAGGTTTAGTTWCATAAATGACTTCTGTTTTTAGGTATATCGGTTTGCAATTTCAACTTCATATTTATGGTAATTCAACATTTGTTTGTATGCTGGTGCCTTTACTATCATGACAAAGAATCTCCAGTGACTTCTAGGAGACTGCATTAAAAGCTAGTGATGAGTGACTGTATTTTGGAAACAAGCTCAAATAGGAGATTAAACAACCCACTCTGTGTCAACATAACACAATATCCTTAAGGAAACAGACTACCTGACCATTATCATCAATCAGTAAACACTGACCTAAGGTGAGCCCAAAATCTTTTCCCATGAAAGATTACATCAAGCATGAATSCCGTYTCAGTGCACATGACTTCCTAAATGGATTGACTCTCTTAACTTKGGAATTGTGTGTGGTAAAACTGTTTTTATTGTTCCTAATTATGATGGGAATTAGTTGTGCACCATGTGGCTCTTATCAGCCCACAAATCWTTGCAGGTTATTTTTGGCATATGACATAATTTGTGGTTCATTTATGCGCACTTACTATTACTACTGCYGCATGTATTTTTACAAGTCTTTTCATGTATAATATACATGCCTTATATATTATTTATTATTTATTATTATTTTAAGGTTGTTTGTGGAGCAGTATAAAAATCAATGACTCATGTATTTGTTTTCTTAGATGGTGTGAATTCTACTGGTGCCGAAATCATTTTAATATAGATTAATAAGAAATTAAAAAAGGGAGTGTGCATGATGGCATTAGTGAGCTAAATGTTGCAGTGCAGTTTGTACTATTAGTATGGAGTACCTAATTTAGTATTTTACTAGTACATAGTACAATATCTGGGGTATAGTGGAGGTCTAAATATTGCAAAGAATATTCTAGCAGCAGGTGACAGAATGCAAATACGATTCACGACAACAAGCACACCGCCAAACAATCTAAACTCCCGTTCGATTTTAAAATATAAAGAACCTCAAAAGCACACTTCAAAAACATGACATATGACATGCATATAAACTGATTATTATATGACAATATTTGAAGAAGTAAATTCCAAATTCAACTCGGCATGTTTTCGTAAAGATTTTACGATACAAAAGTTRGGTTGGGGGTCACTTGTAAGGGCTTTTATGCGTCTTTGCAATATAGCAAGGTTTTCACTATTTAGATAATTGTTCCGAAATAAAACCCTTCCAAATGTATAATCAACAAGAATTGACTTCAAACTTCGAATCATATACGAACAATTATTACGTCTAGCACACACAACCAGGTTTAGCAAGTATCAAGAATGTTTGCGTAAATATCAAATGGGAGAAAAAGTAAAGAAGGAAATAGTTTCCGCGATGATAGAACATGCACTAAAAGGATTCGCGRAGTTCACAAGAAATAGCTCATAATATGAGCTTTAAGATTATATAAGGATAAATTACCTTCTTCGGATGGGGAGTCATCATTCATCGCCTTCTCAGATGATTCACATAAACTCATTAATCGATCAGTTTCTCTTTTCATTATATCCAAGAAGTATCGACCGTCCTTATCGATCCCGTTAATTTCGAGCCTTTTTTGGAAACTATCAGTCATTCCATCCACGTCGTTGTCGCTTGCCACTACCGACGCTTTAATCGGTGATACATTTTCTTTATTTGTTTCCATCATTGGCTCGACTCGTCGTCCTTTTCTTAAAATTATTATGATTTCTGTCTTGTATCTCGCATTKCCATTAGTAAGAGGCTGTAAGGCAGCACTCATGGCTAGCCTCAAGTTGTAAGTACCAACTTTTCCTGTCCAACTGAAAACAAAAGACGCGAGAGATTTGAATATATTCCACCGTCTTCGCGCAACGATCGCTGAATGAATGAAATTGTACGATGATTTCCGCTTAGTCGATTTAACACAAGCCAACAAACGGTCTTATTTATATCCTGTCAGTCCCTTGGTGTATAATCCCAAACGGATGACCGTCTTTTGTGACGATCGCTCCGGCGTAGAAAGTAATAACAATCAATCGAAAATGTAAACTCATCCCCTGGTGGAAGATTTGCTTCAGCAGAACCCAACTATCGTACATGACATAATTCATACATTATTAATTTTCACTAGCTCTGTAGCAGCGGCAATTCACATGTAAAGTCTATAAAAATCGGAACGAAATTTCGTAATAAAGTAATTAAACGTTGGAACGAAGAGAACTACTATAGCAATATGCATGGAGCGAAGCGACGTGTTGGGAACACAAAAGAACTAATAACTAGGAAACAATTTTTGATCACCTCGGAGAACGACGACTACTTCATAAACTCTTCGTTAGAAGGCAACAAGAACTTCCCCACGTCCCGATTATAAATACATGTGACTCAGCTGACCGGCTTACTCAATCCTCGCCGCACAAAATATGCATTTGTCTGTGTGTCTATTATACGTCAGGCCCATCGGAAATGCGTGACTCATATGGTAATTAAGTTTACGAGGATTTGTAGCGGGAAAAAGAGGTCAAAATTGTCAAATTATAAAACCCAGGGCTCACTTGTGTAATTTGTTATCGACATAAGTCAATTCCTTTGAAATGTTTTTGTTTTCGATGTCAAGTTCTTGTACATACGGTCAATGGCGCCATTCAACATTTATGACAAATGAATTTTTTTAACGTATACCATGGCCCACCTACCTGAATTTCGACCAGAGTCGCCATTTGAATAAACTATACTTTACAACCTTGATGCAGAGTTTTTATCCCAGGCTTAATCAGGACGTGTATAATCCTGCAAAAACAATATTTTGAATGTCAAACCGTCTCTTCCATCAGTCTTTTGTACAAGTGCGTAGTATCACGTGATGGTGCGTTGCATTACAACCAGCCGTTGAACCTGGACCCGACGGACCGTGACGTCATTTCTTATTCTATTACTAACAGGGGGAGGGTAAGGGACAAAACACCGCTGTTCTTTCTGACTGACTTGTTTTTCACGGCATGTTTGGTCGTTGTTTGGAATTGGAAGTGTGAACAGCACGTTTATTTTAAAACTTCGTTCAATTGTGGATGAAATTACAAATATAGAACAAAAATATACAGATTATACATGGCTCTATATCAGAGACTATTTCTTTCAAAGGTAAGTTGCTCAAAGTATCGTAGAAATTATGCAATTCTTTAATAACTTAATATTTTATGCAAATGCTTTCGACATTGCGCACGTAAACTATTTATCCTCTCAAGCAACATTTAAATAAAGGTGTTGAAAAAAGAAAGTGTCCACAGTTATGTCCTGCCGATCAAGGTTTTGGAGCAATCAATATAAAAGCTATATTTCCCTTCTACATGTAGACTTGGTTATAATTCAATGAATCACGTCATCACAACCGCAGGCCTGGGACAAAATGGTGCCCATAAATGGACAAAACATCTTGATATCAATGAAATGGACAGATTTCAGATACTGTATACAAAAATGTAAAAAAAAAAATGGTTGGCAGTAGAATTTCCTGAGGTTTTGTACGCWTGGCAGATCAGCTGACTGATTCTGATAAAAGTTTAAAAATTTATATTGTTATGCAATTTCCAGTCCACTCATGAAATTAGCAAAAAAACGTAGGGAGAGGGACACTAGGGGTTATGGGATTGGCTAAAATTTGGTATAGTGGGAAATGACGAAAAATGTATTRGTATTGTGGGATTTGTATCTCCTGTGAGTTGATATTTACCATTTTTTAACAGAATTGAAAGCCTTTGCGATTACTTTTTGAAGATTTTTTTTACTGCAATATGGGATTCTGAGCTCCAAAATGTTGCCAAAATGTTGCCCACAGGGTCTGGTCATATCAGATTGGGGGAAGGGAATATTTTTCATTTTGTGTCTTGTATCGTAAGATATGATCACTACATGTCCATATGCTGGTAATATGCTCATGCTCCACTGGACAATATTAATGTGTCTGACAAAATGACCACTACCCTTTAACCCATTTGATTAAAACTTGAATTCATGGAAGTTACATGAGTAAGAATTATCGGGATCGGGTAATCTTCGAGTTACGCGCTTCGAGTTTCGAGTTATGCGCTCGACCACGCCCAAATTTGCCTCGGCCACGCCCAGCGCATAACTCGATGCAACTAACATACATTAGTGTCCGCGTAACTCGATGTAACTAAAATAGCTTAGTGCCTTCGAGTTACGCGTTTTTAAATTAAAATCAATATAAAAACGAGCTCATTGCTTTTACGGCTTTTATTTGAAGCAAAATATATAAAATATATATAGAATTTGAAATATGTCAAGTTTTAAAATTACAAATGGTAGCCCTTTTAGGCTGCTCGAAAATGTTTGAAAATGTTTGAGTTTTTAAATTTGGTCTCCATATTCTGAAAGTGCATGATTTAATGCATCCTTGCTCAATATGAGACTCTTATAGTGTCTTTTATAGCGGATATACAAGCGATTTTATCGTCGGGTGACTACATACGAACGCTTGTAAATTTGGTCGCGTTCTTTTCGTTATGAACGAGCCCAAATTACAAAGCGTTTCAGTGGTAAGCCGACCATAAAATCGCTTGTATCTCCGCTATAAAATAGTATTTTTGTGAGTACTCTATAGGTAAATATGTTATAGCTTAGCTAATATTTCACATTCAGTTATTTTCAATACACTATTCACAACAACTTCTTGCGTTCACATTGATGAAATAGATACTTCTATGATGTAAGGGTCGTCTATCATTCGACCTTTGATAGAAAGATAAATTGGAATATCACGTACACCAATATGTACGTCTTTTTTAATTCTACTAACAGAAATGGCTTCTCTTCATCTTCACAATGCAAGTTAATTTTTATTTGCTAAATTCTGTGTCCGTCCTCAATTAACCCATTAACGAGGGGCTTTCGACGTATCATTAATTGAATGTTAGTACACAACCCACATTGATCTCCATTGATATCATGCATCAAACGTCCGAAGAAAAGTCATTAATGTTTTCCTTTTTGTTTTGTCACCTCCAATGATAGAAATATATTCAAAAAAAACATTGTTGAGTGACTTTGTGAAGAAATGGCGTGATTCTGTTCATTTAAATTGATTTTCATTTAAAAGCGCGTAACTCGATGCAACTAACATACAAAAGCGCGTAACTCGAAGAAACTAATGTATGTTAGTTGCATCGAGTTATGCGCTGGGCGTGGCCGAGGCAAATATGGGCGTGATCGAGCGCGTAACTCGAAAAGCGCGTAACTCGAAGATTACCCGCCCTCAGGATTATCTATCTCATTGAGTTTATAAGATTAGGTTCCTTTTGCAAAAATATGCTTAGACAGAAGGCTAAAAGTCAAAGCCAGTTTTTTGTTAATATTATATTCAGAAAAAAGTAATGGTAGCATAAACTTGAAATAAATGAAATCATGTGAAATAAATATTGTGAAATGCGACATTGAAATTTAGATCTGAAATAAAAACTTTCATTCAACTGGCTAATAATTTGTTGACTACAAACTTTAAAGTAGAAAGGAGGATTAGACAAAAATGAAATTGTCAGAACAAAGGTTTAATTATGGATCACTGAATTTAGGTTAATTTGTGTGAAACAAAAATATGCCAATTTTCTTTATTTTCCTACTTTCAAAATGTTTTTTGAAATTATTTCTTTTAATCCAATGCATAATGATGTTGCTAGTGAAATAATAATGAAACCCTATTTCTTTTTACCTTTAAAACAAGCAATTTTAATTTAATAAGTCTCTTTTAAGATTAAAAAAGCATTACGACCTCAGTTCTGAGAATAATTGACTTTATGTGTGATTTTTAAGGCTAGGAAAATAAAAAAAAATTGTTTCACAGCTGGATTGAAAACAAAGCCATTTCATATAATTATGTAAAAAGCTTTAATAGGTGTGTAAAATTTAAATGTTTTGGGGTGCAACCGTATGAATAAACCCATTTAATATAATAGTGTATAACTGACTGGATTCTTGGTCCTAAAGAAATGTTAAGAACTAACCACTGTACTAAAATAATGTACACTTTTGATTTGATGACATTGTCAAAGAGGATGATTCAGTTAATGTGCTTAAGATGTATTTATCTTGCTCTTTCATGAGATTACTTTTGAATACTAATTTCAAGTATTCAACTTACCTTCAGAATTATGTCCTTTTGCTGTTCAGAATTAGAGAGTTAGTACCTTTAATATTCTGGTAGCAAAGGTAGAAGAACTACTATTCTGAATCAACAGGTGGTTTTGCTCTTTATCTTGTRGAATATGAATGGTGACCACTCCTTGTTTTTGTTCAGCAGTTTTAATAATTTATCAAGCACATGACTCAACTGTGGTTTTTACTAGCCAATTTATCAACTCAATAATAAAAGTCTAATTTCTTTAATTAATTTGAGCTAAATAAATTTGTTTTTAAAATTTTTAATAAGATTGTGTCATTATTCCCTTTTATTGTAATAAATATTAATTGTTGGAACAAAGAATAAATTATGTTTTGTTAAACCTCTTTTTAATCAATTATCTTCTTTTGAATGGTTATAAGATGATTTTTTGATCAATTTTTTTTCTATCGATATCAGATTTTTCATCAATKCCCAAGAATAGTCACCTTAAGATCGTCCAGGCTGAGTGCYTCAACATGGACTGGGCAAGAGTCCTTGAAGGATGATGATCCTGAGATGTATGATTTAATCAACAGAGAAAAACAAAGACAGCTCAAAGGTTTAGAGCTCATTGCTTCTGAGGTAATTAAAATGACTCTGCATCATTGATGGATGGTAACGATAATTAATGTGTAACATATATTTGGCAGTGTATTATAATTTATGTTGTTAAATTAAATAAGAATTAATGTCAAAGACTTGCTGACAATAACATTGTTTATATTTACAATATTTAAAGACATACATTAATTCAACATTCATTTTATTGTGCTCAATCCTCAATAGAGATTTTTTACATTTCTGGAGATTATTCTATTAATTTATACAATAATTCAATAGATTTTTATATTTATATAATTAGATAAATATTACTAAATTGAGTGTTTCAGTTAAATTGATATCATTACAATTGTATTTCCTTGTTGCAGAATTTCTGCAGCAGAGCAGCWTTAGAAGCYCAAGGGTCATGTCTTAACAACAAGTATTCAGAAGGCTATCCTGGACAACGGTGAGTTTCTTTATGAAAATTGCACCATACATTACGGCTCCAGAAAGTTAAATACTTCCAGATCTGACAGAGTGCTTAGCATATTAGACACCCAATTAAACAAGATCATATGAAAAAGATATCCACTCTCTCTCTCCATTCCAATTTCTTTGCAGTTTTCTTTTCAGCAAATTATTTTAATTTACATGTATATAGTTTAGCCAGTGTAAGACAGAATATTTTACGTACCAATCCAGGGATTTCCCACTGGGCTCCCCATAGGTGGGCTGGGAGGCACTCTCCTCCCRATGGGGTGTAGTATTTTTTTGACCTACTGTACCCTGATGAGTTTGGTCTTGGTCACAAGAATCTGGACATCCCATTATATTAGTGCATTGTCTGGCTTGTGTTTTTATTCTCATTTGATTCACCTGTTAATTCAATTTTTCAGATATTATGGAGGAAATGAAATCATTGATGAAATTGAACTACTTGTACAGAAAAGAGCCTTAGAAGCATTTCGGCTTGATCCTAAAGAATGGGGGGTGAATGTACAGCCTTACTCAGGTCCGTATTGATTTAGTATTAAAAGTTTTCTAATTTTATAATTAAAGTAGTTAATTTCAAAGCATGTTATCAAGAGAAAAAGCAATGTTGAATTGAATCAGAGGAGAGGAGAGGACATGGGTTTGCTTAGATCTGTCATTCAAAGTTTGATTATCTTAGAGCATTGGTTGGAAAAGAGAGGGGGGGGGAGAGGAGGGTGGGTGGGTGGGTGGAACAACACACTTTAGATAGTCCATCTGTCCAAACACAGAAAAAGAGGCACTGTCCAACTTTCATCTGTCTRTTAATGTGTTGATGATAATATTATATTCTGACTGATTGTTTAGGATCACCAGCAAATTTTGCAGCTTATACTGGCCTTTTGAAGCCTCATGACAGAATAATGGGTTTAGACCTTCCACATGGTGGCCAGTAAGTATTCTGTACATTTCTTAGAAAACAAAGTTATTTTAAAAGATAAATTCAACACCGTAAAAAATAGGTGAAATAACTTACTAACATTTCGGACGTTAATCTTTTGTCGTAGTAAAGACTAATTAAAGTTTTTTTAAGCATCTTTATGAAAGAACTACAGCAGTATAAACAATACCATTAAGTCAGACTTCAGGTTTCACTGCGCTAGGCTTGATTTATTTTCTTTATATAACGTCCTTTACCTCACACTTTATTGAACCTTTGGAGAGAGAAAAATAACTCAGCGCATTAGTGTATATCTAGGTGRTCAATTAACGTAAGATGTGATGTGATTGTATTTTAAATCTATTTATAGCTTGACACATGGCTTTATGACWGATGCAAAGAGAATCTCTGCTACCTCCATTTATTTTGAATCAATGCCATACAGATTAAATGTAAGTTATTTAATAGTGAAGTGTCATTAATTAAAATATGCAAGCTTTTGGACTTCAATACATTATGAATTGTAAGTGATAAATAACTGACAGAAGTTTCAGACTTAGATGAGTAAATCTATGAAAAAAATAAAATAATAARATAAAATAATCATGATAAATTCATTTTATTTACAGGAATCCACAGGTTACATTGATTATGACACACTTGAAAAGACAGCCACATTATTCCGTCCAAAACTCATAATTGCAGGGGCTAGTGCATACTCTCGACATTATGAATACGATAGAATGAGAAAGGTATTGTACATAACAGCATAAAATCATCGTTATGTTTATATAATTTAAGCTCAGACACATGTCACTATAAAACTTTGGGTCAGTATTGTTGTGTCTAGTAAGAACTTTCCTCTTTGTTAATGTCACATCATTACTTTTTTATTTTTTTTTAGATTTGTGATGCCACCAATTCAATTCTTCTATCTGATATGGCACATATAAGTGGACTTGTTGCTGCAGGTGTAAGTAAAATCTTGTGAAAGATCAAAGGTTATGGAGGGGATACCCTAGTTAGTCATTCAAGGAGGAGAAGGGGGAGGGGAGGGTTAATAAGAGACTTTTTAACCCAATCTTGATGCATTGTAGGAATGCTCAATTTATTGACAGAAATATGACCAATATGTGTGGTGTGGAGTTTGTAGTGTCACCTCCATTGTATTATAATTATGTTGCATTCATAAAACCAATAACTATAATTAAAATAATTTACAGTCTGGTACATTGACAAATAAAGAGCTGTAGGATGTGACGTACAGTCATGCTTATTTCATCAACTAAAATATCCTTTACTAATAACAGGTTGTCCCAAGTCCATTCGATCATAGCCATGTTGTAACAACCACTACTCATAAAACACTGAGAGGGTCAAGGTAGAACATACAATATACATAATAATTATAGTAAACAATAGTTTCTTAATAATTTATTCATCATTAATTTTTATAACCCACAATACAATGCAAGGTAGAATTTGAATTCACGTTTTTGCATGCTTTATCTTAATAGGCTTAATAATAGAGTTTAACTTAAAAATGTTCTACTTAGAGCTGGTATGGTATTCTATCGTGTTGGRCAGAAGGGAGTAAATAAGAAGACTGGCAAACGTATCCTATCAATACATGCTCTATCAATGTAGTACCTACATTATGTTAACTGTCTTCACTAGCTGCCTAAATTCTAATGAACTTCCTATTAACTTAATAAGGGGATGCAGCATGAGATAGAGTTAAGTGTACATGTACCCTGTATCTAGTAGGGCTTAGTTCCTTTTTTCAACAAACAAAATCCCACTAATTTATAAATCAATAATTATTGATGGAAGTATATTTGTTTCCTTAACTACTGTTAATTTCAGCTATAATGTATGACTTTGGTAAACATATTGATTTTGCTGTCTTTCCATCACTGCAAGGAGGACCACAYAATCATGCCATTGCTGGTGTGGGTGTAGCTTTAAGACAGGTTTGTAAAACCACAGTCACCAAACCTCACTCAGAACATTATATATATTATTAATGAAATAGAAACCTAAAAAAACTACCAGTAGTGAGTTGTACACACACCACCTGTGGCACAAGTTAGTTAATTTGTACATACTTTAATAGAATGCAAATTGAATTATAAATTATGTACAACAATCAATCCCCTATAATTTTCTGCTCTACAGTAGTCACGTTTATGTTATATTGTGTCCTAGGCAATGCAACCTCACTTCAAGGAGTATCAGCTACAGACTATTAAGAATGCCAAGACAATGGCTGACAGTTTGATGGCCAAAGGCTACACACTAGTGTCAGGTAATATACACCAGGGACGGGTTGTTCAAAGCCCAATTAGTGCTAATCCTGGGTTAACTCTTAGAAAACCTATATGGAGTTAAACCTGGATTAAGACTAATTAGGCAACCTGGAACAACCTGGCCCAGCTATTGTACATGATAATATTATTTTACCATTCAGAAGAGATGGCAACGCTTATTTATATTTTATTAGAATATTTAGTACATGCCCAGCCCTAAACGTACTCTGCTTTGAAAAAAAAAACAACAACAATTTTCCAATACCTCAATGCAATGTCCATACAACCTCGATACACTCTGAACTGTATCCATGTACCACTGGGGGTAACCGACCCATGCCCATTTTAATACTGTTAAACAACCTCTTACGCTAGAGAGATGGTGAAGGTTACTGGATAGACTCAGATAATGACATTATTACTTCAAGGAAATCACTGAGGCAGGTCTTTTTATAAACTGCCAAATAAACATGGTTACCTACCCATAACCGTATACCAAAAGGTCTTAAGGTCTCTAATTAAAGTGAGCATTTTTTCATACAGTACTTGTTTTTTAGGYGGAACAGACAACCATTTAGTGTTATTAGATCTTAGACCAAAGGTGAGTCTTTATTATTCATTAAAACATTTCATTTGCCAGCCTTATAATTTAATTTATTTATCACTGTTTATTATGAATGGTTATAAGGGAGTTGATGGGGCTAAAGTGGAAAAAGTTCTAGATGAGGCATATATTACAGCTAACAAAAACACATGCCCTGGAGACAAAAGTGCTCTTAAACCTGGTGGTCTCAGATTAGGTAAGGTTTATCTAACATGAGCTAAAYATTCAGTTGTCTGTCTACTCTGTAAGTAGTTTTGCATAACTTTAGTTTTATTTTTAATAATACGATCTAAACCATATGTATTTCAGCCTGTCCATGCCACATTTAGCTATACTCAACAAATAACCCTGACAATTAAAACCCTTGAGACTGCAGCTGAAATCATTGATGTTATAAAAATGCCATTTGTTTTGGTGACTACCATTTCACCCTTTCAAGGCAAAGAAAAACGAAACCTGATCTCTGACTCCTCTTAATTTCACCAGGATCTCCTGCATTAACATCACGTAACTTCAAGGAGGCAGATTTTGAGCGGGTCGTGGATTTCATTGATATTGGTGTAAATATCACTATAGAGGCACAGAACTCTAGTGGTATGTAGCATTTATTCGTCATGAAACCAGGAGATAGCTGTGCCACTTTGAAACAACTTTTGCAATGATTCCACATCTAGAAATTATTCACGGTTATCTATCATTGCAAGTCATCTGAATTTGATGCAAAGGCACAGTTATGGAGTTCAAATTTATTGTTGGTTGCGCCTGCTTAGCAGCCCTATGGGGACTGAGGAGGCAGGCTGAGGAGAGATCTCCTCATTCTCCGCTCAGGGCTCCTCAGCCCCTACACAATCTACTGTTGGTTTAACCTGAGTTTATGCCATCCGGAAAATTCTTAAAAGTTCTACACTCAAAAACATTAAGTCAACACCAAGATTTACCTCATTAATAGAATGTTTTGCAGATTTATCAAGAAAACAACTATTTGAATAAAGTTGTTGTCATTACTTTGTTCTATAGGAGACAACACAAAAGCTTTCCTAGAATTCATCAAAACAGACCAAAGTACTTTGGATAAGATTKCAAAACTGAGGAGTCAAGTGGAAGAGTTTGCTAGCAATTTCCCTATGCCAGGGTTTGATGACCATTAATGGAAGTACGAATGAAGCTTGAATGAATGATTGACGATGCAGATATCTTGCTATCTATGACAAAATATTTTCAATATTATATAACTGGAGTTACAGGGTAGTAATTTGGTAGGGTTTTTGCATAATCTTAACATGATTTTTTGATCTTGTTCGTTAATTTTTTTTAAAGAGTTAATTTTATGATTTATCAATATATCAGTTGAGTATATCTAGCTATTTTAGATAATGTTGAACCCTGAAGAATGCAATGCATTGTGTCATTGTATGATCTCTGTTCAAAAAGAGCTTTTGCTTCTTACAGTTAGAACTTGAAACAATTTTGCTTAGAATGCCATTTTACAACACAATGCATTGCGGCCTTAGAATGCACAATGCAGTATTCAATGTTCATAAAAATAGCTGCATATACATTTATTTAATACACATAATTTCTAGTGTTAAAACAGTTGTATAAATGTAAACAAATTAATTCAAAAAAAGAAAGCCTTCTGGAGGTAACTCACAGGTGATCAGCACCAACTTGTACTAATCAAAGTGCAATAAAGTTATAGAGAAAACTAAACATTCCTTGTGATACAGATGTTTTCACATACACCCACCAACACTCCTAGAGTGATCCTCTATCCATCTGTGATAAAATCTACTACTATTAGCCTTTGTTATAGGAAAATCACATGGTGCAAATTCTATATCGACTCTTCTCAGTCTCCTTGGCAGCCTTGTTTTGTTAGGCTTCCTCTATGTTMAACAGAATAGGAAAGAAGCCCAACAAAGGATAGGCTGTAAAGGAGACTATGATTCTAGTGTTTGTAATCTATTTACTGGACACTTGAAGGCATCAAACTGTTTTGTTTTTCTATTGTTTATTAACACAATAAATACAATGCTTCTAGTCAAACGAGGTTGTCAACATTTGGTCTGCTACAATCACATTCATCAATATAACTCCATATTGTGGTCTTTCCAGCATCATTTTTATTGTGGAAAACAACTTTGTATCTTAATGGAACTGAAACATAAACAAGAGTACATATACATGAAGGAGACTTATATAGACCCTTAATAGTAAAAGTAACCCCAATCATATATTTATCTGTAAAATGAGCAGATTTGAATCTGAAAAAAAGTATAGTACATGTTTTTTGGAGAAATTTCACATTTCAGGGATTCCATTGCACTAGTTCTTTTTTTAAAAAAATATGCTAGCAAATGAGCTGCAGCCATTTTAACAAAGATCTGCCAAATCAATTGAAAACTAATATGGCTCTTTCCAGGGAAATACTAAAGATGCATTTGAAGCTAATATGTACTGAGCACTGACTTACTTTTTGGAAGCCAATATCTTTGGCATACTGTCTGAAGCAGCGACGACAGATATTTAATCCATACTTGCGAATAAGACCATGATGGTTAGAGCAGACTCGGCTTGAATGAAAAAATACAAAATCATGATATTAAACATCTTGTCATGAAACACAAAAGTCCAATGGAAACAGCCTGAATGGAAGATTACAACAAAGGGTTTCATTGTTATTTTACCAAAATTTTGAAAAAATTCTATTTCTGATTGGTCTAGACCCTTGTTAAATTTAAGAAATTTATGTCATTGCATTTCCACATTTTCTCATGTTTGGCATCATCAAATCGTCAGAAGAGATGAAGTCAACGTTGTCTCATGTATGAATAACAATTTTGACAATAGTCTCCTTCACAGTTACCTGCGCCATTTTGAAAGTTAGCTGTGCCTTTACATCAAAGCGAGATGACCGTTTGGCGTGCAATGATAGATATCTGTGAATGATTGTCTGTAGGTGTGAAACAAGGTTTCTATCATTGCACGCTCAACGGTTGTCTCACTTCGATGCAAAGGCACGGCTACCTTTCAAGATGGCGCAGGGAACTGTGAAGAAGACTATTAGAAGATGCAAACTGTGGTAACTAAAGATGACATACAAAATTGTTGTCAACAAATAGTTTTAAGGATTTTACGCAGAGATGTCTCAAGGACACTGAAGTCTTGACATTTGAGTACCAATCACCTATATAAAGTATAAATTCAAGCAATGAAGGTTTGTGCCATGTTAAAAATGATTACAAGAAAGAGAGCACATTTCAAATTGAATTTTTTTTGAAGTTTGAGAAGTTCAAACTTTAACTTCAGACTTTTTCTTTCTATTTTTTCACATTTTTAATCCTTATATTATGAATAATAGACAATAAAAGTTCTTTTGATATCCAATTGTAACTTTATAACAAGTTCTGGACTTYGTCGGCCGCCATTTTGAATCATGTGGAATTTGACTTCGATATTTGAAAAGCGAATTTCTACTAAAATATTACACACAGAAGTACCAAAAAGCCACTGCTACATAGAATGTATATTGTAGATAAATKTAAGAGTGATTYGAGCCGGAAAACTTACCAGGATCGTGATCCAGCACCATATCCACGAGGATGACTATACCAAACGTTTGAGTGACCCATCTTGTTGAATCGCAAAGAGAAAGAAAGCATGTGCTRGACGCCCTAAATGCATGCTGGGAGGTRTACAAATATCCCGTGGGGGTGGWGGGTGGCGTCTAACAAATTAAAAGTGAAAAATTAAAATTAAAAGATACTATTTAAACTCGTTTCTTTTTAACTAATTAATATTTTAGCTATCGACCTTTCAAGTTTTGTRATTGGAAAATATGGGTTTCAATCAAAGAATAGACTGTACTGTGGAGGTTTGCATTTTGTATCGCGGGCTCATAGTGTGATGTGGCCAYTCAAAATGGCGGATTCATCGAAGTATTTTGTAGTTAATCGTTTTATTTCGTTTTCTAGGCGTTTTTGAAGGAAATGTAAATGGAGAATAGTTTAGAAATGAATTTTTGAGCCAGAGAAATGCTAATATTTTGTTCAACCAGCAAAGATCATGAATATTTTAAACTATGACTAAGGAAAGTACTAGATTTTATCCTGAATATCCTCCAGTTAACACGGCTAACATGCCAATTTCTAATCGAAATTTCTCAAAAATGAAGACGGTTTTAAGAAGCTATAAAGCGTTAGGTTTGCTTTTCATTATTATAATATTATTYGGTGCTCTTTCGCGGGCTTTACAGAACTCTGGCTACAGCTACATGGACAAAAAACATTCTTATGTCAGACGTTATCTTGATTTTGGCATCATGTTTGATGCAGGTAGTACAGGAAGTAGAATTCACGTATTTGCATTTCAAAAATTAAAAGGTAAGAGATGTACAAATATTGAATTGAAATGTTTTACTGGATGGCATACATTCATTTTTCAAAACTAAGTAGGTTTATTTATTTACAATTCTAGATGGGACATTAAAGTTAGTAGATGAAGTATTTCAGCACTCTAAACCTGGTCTTTCATCATTTTCAAAGAATCCTAAAAAGGTTAGAGCATGGTGTATGGTATAACTAATATATTTATTGCAGTCTAGAATGCTTGATTGAGTTTAATTAATAAGTATACAGTATTATTTTGTATGCACATACAATATTTGCTCCCATGCACTCTTAGAAAGTACCAGATCATAGGTATACCTGTGCTAAAATATGGATAGGGAGCAAAGCCCCTGACTACTAAACCTAAGCCTACATGTAGAGCATATTTTACACGCTTATTTTTCAGAGAGCAACTTCAGGTTGAAAAACTATTTATTTCCAACTATTTATTTACCTACAAGGACATATAGTCTCCTTCGCTGCCTAMCCTTTTGTCAGAGGGAAGGAAGCCTGACAAAAGGGTGGGATGCGAGGGAGACTAAAAAGGACAATGAACAAATTAAGATGATTGTCATCTAGAAACTCATTTGCTTATAATTTCAGGGTGCTAAGACTATACATGAACTTTTAAAAATAGCAAAGAATGTAGTACCACCAAATAAATGGCACCAGACACCTGTAGCACTTAAAGCAACAGCAGGACTTCGGTTATTACCTGCTAAACAATCAGAACGATTGTTAAAAGAGGTAATTTAGTAATTTTTTTTAAATGTCATTAGATTGGAAATGACAGCCTCCTTACCAGCAGTCCCTTTGTGCTGTCATATAAGGCAATACTCCTGCAAATTCATAGAAAATTAATATTTGAAGACCTAAAATCAATCTAAATTGACTAAGTGATTTGTGACTAGAGAAAATACGAATACACAAAAGAAATAGAATATTGCAGATTGAAGCAGGAAATTATAAAATAGCATCTCTCCTAAATCTCTATCTATTATAAGTACATTCTGACTATTTTTTTTTTCTAATTTGTAGGTGTATAATGTTTTAAAACACTCTCCTTTCAAAGTATCTGGCCCAGACAGTGTATCAATCATGGACGGATTATATGAAGGCATATATGCTTGGGTCACTGTTAATTTTCTTACAGGTAGAATATGCAGCATTCTTGTTAATGATCAGTCAATGTTACTATATATGCTTGAGTATTAGATGTTATGTAATGTATAAAATATGAGCGGGAGAATTAAGGTAAAGCATATTTCGGAAAAAAAAACTTCAGGATAAAATATCATTTGTAAGAAAAAATATCACAGGACAAATCAGGACAAATCTCTTGCTCATATAAAGATGCAGTCACAGCAATGGTTTTCCATTGTGTTTACCTTATGAATTATTAATGAATTTGATAATTGAAGTTCTTAATTCTTCCAAAGCTATTATCTCTCTTTAACATAGATTGCATGTTATTTGATTGTAGGTAGATTTAGTMAAAAAGACGCAGCYTTGTTTGGTGCCTTGGATCTTGGTGGTGGRTCAACCCAAATAACRTTTAATCCGATTGTTGAAGTAATTATAATTTTGGTTTTATTTATCATTTTAACTAACTGTTAATTTTCTTCAAATATTTATTCACTTACAATTTATTCAAATATTGTGTTATATCAATGCAGGACACTCTTTCAAATTCTCCAAAAGAATTCACTCACACATCAGAAGTTTTTGGTCATAAGTTTAATTTGTACACTCATAGGTAAGGATTTTTTTTATATAAAGTATTTTTTATCACCAACTCGTTCCTTCTTTCTTCAATCATCAGTGTGTTGGTAACTGCATTATTTATTATAAGTTTGTGTTAACTTGTTGGTAGTTCTTCCACAATTATGCAGTCAACTCTTGCCTTGAAAAAACTTCATTATACTCTTACTAGTAATGTACGTTTGAATAAATCCATTCTCCAAAGAAATTGCCAAAAATTCTCATTTCTTTCAATTTACTGTAATTATTGTGACTGCTACTGAATCTCTAAATATTTTACATAAATGATGTCACTCACACTTTTTTGTTTGGCTTTGCAGTCATCATCATAAATGATGCTTTTTGTTTTAACATTTTGTAAAACATGTTGTTCAATTTCAGTTATCTTGGCTTAGGACTCATGGCAGCTAGAGCAACTATATCCAAACAAGGGGCGCAATCCAAAGACAGTAAGTCCACTTTAACGGACCCTTTGCACCAGTCTGACATTCTGACTAGCTTTAAATAGCTGTATATACTGTAATGTGCTTTTAAACACACTTGTGTGAATTCTCGTCACTGATTGGCTGGTTAGAGTGAGTCTCGTACACATTCAGTTCAAAGGAAAGGTTTTTGCTAATTTTTAAAAAAGAATTATGCTAAAAAGAATTGCACATGGTTCTTCATTGTATGTCGTCTTATTGACACACACTCATTATTGCCTGGTGTACTGATTAACCAAGATGTTTCATTGGTAAAATTATCTTCAATGTCATTCTTTTAAGCACAAGGAGAGAACATTAGCAGGAGTCCATGTCTACCACCTACAAATGTTGGTAAATGGAAATTTGGTGGAAAAACCATTACAGTAAGGTAAGACTATGTAAATTTATGTTTGTTTTCATAGTGTCTGCTTCATGATACAGAATCCAGGATCTTACAAAATTTCTTTGGAATCTGGAATCTGTTTCAGTGGAAATTGAATTGTGATAAAACAAGAGGAATCCTGAATGAAAATTAGTGACTTCAAAATGTTTCTTAGTAAATAGAAGTGAACAAGTCACTGACAACTACAACAACAAAATAAATAAACAAAAAAAAAAAAAGAAATAAAAAAAAGCAAACCTAGAATCCAATTTGGTTGAAATCAAAATCCTTCATGTAATCTGAAATTCAGGAATGCTCCAGATTCTTTGTTGGGGAAAGAAGCATTTTTTTTCCTAAGATTTTTTTAAAAGTTCRTATGTACCCTAGGAAAATCTAGTATGTAGAGGATAAAATCACAAAAATTAATAAATTTTTACCCAATAGCATTCTGTGCATGTTTTTGACATTGTTATTATCATTACAATTTAATACTATTAATTACTAATAATAGTTATCATTTTATATCACTTAAATATGTCATTTTTTGTAGTGGTCATGCCAATTATAGTTTTCAAGCATGTATGAACCATGTCAAGAGTCTAGTCAAACCTGTAGACAGGCAAGGTACTTGTAATGCATGATGTCATTAATAACTAATATTGTCACAAAAAATAGGTGCAAAAAAGCAAAAAACTGCTGCTTTATTTTGACAAAAGATTCTCTTGCAGAAAGACCTTACCAACAACAAAAGAAAGCATGAGAAAATGTTGTTATTGCAATAGCCTTGAAAATTTGCATTTTCCCCATTTTCCCCCAAACCTATATTCTCATAAGACCTAAGGTATGATCCTTCTGGGAATACAGGGTTAGTCTCAAATCGGGAAAAATGTAAATTGTTAGTGCTATTGGACTAACAACATTTTCTCATGCTTTCTTTTGTGTTCGATAAGTTCACTGCGTAAGAGAATCTGCTGTCAAATAAAACAGTGGTCATTCGCTTTGAATTCAAAAATGGAGTATTGAGTTGATGACTGAGTATTGATTATTGATGACTCTTTTTTTTGTAGATGAAATGAATGAGAGAACATTTTACACATTCTCCTATTTCTATGATCGAGCTGCAGATATGAACCTTGTTGGTATGTAATCATCAATCATGAATATAATCTTTGATTTGCAGTTCAATGAGAGGGTCAAAASTGAATGTATTTAATAAATCTTATTATATTAAATTCACCTGGGTTCGGTCATATCATTTAACAGCAAACAATCTGCTATYTTGCTCAGGAGTTGATTTAGAGAGGTAGTCACAGGGTACCAGTGCCCCTATTTCAATGCTAAATTGATTTTAATAAAAAAATATAACAACACATTTGATCATCAATGCAGTTAATGTAATCAGTTAACAGAATTAGCTCTTCATGATTGCTTTGTGTTTAATGACGTCATGTGACGTCATGTGTGCTCCCATCTTCCCAATTACAAATATTGGATATGCTCCTGATGATAAATAAACATGTTTTGGTTTTAGATGTAAATAAAGGAGGGATCATTACCGTAGGGGACTTTGTTGGGAAAGCCAATGAAGGTACAGTATAAAAAGATCTTTATTAAATTTGTTATCAAGACATCAAACTGTCCTACTGGCATCACCTTTCTACTTTCTGACTTTCTCAATGTCTAGACTGTACTCTTTTTCTACATTGATGGGATTCCTGTGTTGGATTAGTGAGTGAAGGCTTGGCCTTATTTCTTCTCTTTCCCAGTTTGCAATATGGAGATTATTTTAGCTTGCTCAAAATATAATCTGCAGTGCATTCAGTTTTCAGAGAATCCGACATCACGAGAAAAACTTCCGAACAAATTTATTTTAAATCTAAGCCAGAGACATTGAATTTCCATTTTGAATCGTGGCTATAATTTTGTCATATTCCGAGAAACGTTTCAATGACATCTCTGCTGTTTCAGTGTGTTCATCAGATCGTGTCAGACCAAACAAACTCGCTTGCATGGATGCTACATACATTGCWGCTCTACTCAAACATGGCTATGGACTTCAAACGGATAGAAAATTAATTGTAAGTCATTCAATMAGTTATTTTGTATAAGGGACGGTGCATTGGTTATCTGAAGTGAGGAGGGTGCGTATTCAATTGGGGAAATATCGTGGAATACGAAATAATTGAGGAAAAAAGTTATGCCGAATATTACAAAGAAAATATGGAATTGGGTATATTCGGTTTGCTACAAGGAAGAATAAAAAATGGTCTTGAAAAAAATAAGTGTAATAGGAATACTTTGTCATTGATAACTCTGTAGTACCTATAACTGTAATGAATTTTAAGGTAAATGCATTGTAGTTTGATGTATCCTGAGAGCTCTTGTCATTATGAATATTAACGTCAAACACTTTYTGCTSCAACTGACGCGCAAAAGCGMCTTTCCCGTGCCCCAAATACGAGGAAACCCCACCCACAATTCCCAGGATCGGRCCACACAGGAAACCCGCGCTACATACCAAACGAATCAACATATAACACATCTTCATGTAATCAATTCTTTGCCTTTCATGGACTTTGATCCAAATAATTAAAATATTAATATAAAATATCAGAATATTGCTATCAATACTCGCAATAGCGTTTTTTAAAAGACATTTCATCCATCTCTCGTTTGATAAACCTTTTGTAGCACTAATGTTATCAAAGTGAAGTTCTAAAGATAATAGCAAAAAAGCTTTCACAAAGGATCGTTTACTCGTTTACGGCTATTCCARAAAACGTTGATACTAAAGATAGTGTAATTCAAGACCGAAATGCATTGTTGGTCGTTCTATCGCCGTAAAAAGGAGTTTTAGTAATTTCACAACGGTGACTATACCAGCTATGTACAGTCAAGAACTTCTATGGAAAGTTTAGAATTGTTATTTTGTAATACAGCTAACGTGAATTTTAATGGAAACAATGCACTGCGGTCTTGGAATGAACTATGCAGTAAACAGTATCAGTATTCAACGTTTTCTGAAATAGCTGGACATCTAAAAACATTTATGTTATATTTCAGTTACGTAAAAAGATTGATGGTGTGGAGTTGAGCTGGGCTCTAGGTGCTACATTGGATATGCTAAATAAAGAATCAAAGCAATGAAACTAAAGTTGTGGATTTTCAAAAATTTTAATACCAAGGGCTGGTACAATAGTCTTGTAAGGGGAATTAGCGGAAACAATAACTTTATAGAGAACACGTTGAAGTTTGGAAGGTTTTAATCAGAGGCTCGAGTACACCTTGCCCGAGAAAGAATGATTTTTAATACTTAATACAATAAATAGTACTTAATAAAAGTTTAATACTTAAAAAAATAAAAAACTTATCATAGATTTGTTTAGATTTTATTTAAAATGTAAAATGTGTTAAAAAAGAAATCACGAAGTGAGTTGATTTAGAGAGATTATTTTGTTTTTTGATAGTCTTGTATTGAAATCACGTTTGTTTTATAGGAAATATAATACAAGTACATCAACTTATTAATTAAAATTTGTTTTGATAAGTGTTTTGCGTCTGATAATTTATTTATATTGATAATCTTGTACTAATTTGAATTGGTTGGCGCCGTCAGTATTAAAATTACTGGGCTGGGTTGTTCAAAGCTCGATTAGCACTAATCCTTTGAAATCTTTAAAAATGTATGGATTTGATCCTGGATTGATACTAATCGGCCTTGAACAACTTGGCCCCCAGGAGATATGGTTTCCCAGCATGCTGCTGTATAAAGAAGGAGCCAGAAATATTTGATCCAAAAAAGAAAAACAAAATACAAAAACGAGCTCAGTCACTGCATCCTGAGAGATTGTCAGAAAGTGCGAAACCGTTTGACATCGTTCGATATAATAAGGAATGTCAATATTGCTCGTTTTTTCAATCTCATGAGATTCAAAAGAAACTAAGACCAGCGGCCATAATATAAGGAGAAAATCTACTGTGTAGAAATCTGTTGGAGCTCAACCAAGATGGCAGCTGTGACGTATATTGCAAATAAAGAATAAATAACTTAATGTTATACAAACAGTAAGCAACTTCATATRAATTCAAGATGAACGGAGATCGTAGAATTTGGAAAAATAGGTGGGACGGGGAAAGCCTCTGATAGGTTAGGGGACTAGTCAGATTCTGACATGTTGTTCATTAATTTATTTTTGCATCCTTTTCCCTACAATTTCAATAAAAAAAATCCATGTAATGGTCCAATGAAAAGTGCTCTATGGCTCAAATTATCAATAAAAAATGCAATAAATTATGATGGTGTTATTTTGCCGTCCATGTTACACATCCTCGTACAAAAGGCAAATATCAAAACCAACAATCCAGTGGCATGGTCTGCATTACTATTGCTTTGTCTTCTCGGTTTGGAGTTCCAACCAGATAATTCTTAGTCGATATAACACGGTGATATACACTAGGTGCTTTGATATTTGTATTTTGACCGATTGAGATATAAAGTTTCTTTGTGATAAATCTGGGGCAGATTCAAGGGAAGTCCCCCTGTATTATGTTTTCGACTCGAGGGTACTTGAGTTTCTTTCAGAAGGGACATCTGACTTATGAAGAACCTTCTGATCCACCAAGCAGAATATAGGTGGATCGAGTTTAATATCTCTGTCGAAGTTATGAACAAGAATATGGTGTTGACACCTCACAGTTATATCATTCTGTCATGACTCGTTTACACAGATATTTATATTTCGGTTTCTATGGTTCCAATTTGCGATTAGCCTCGGGGAAGTATAAATTCTAATTAAATTAAGAATTTTTGTCGAGAACACAGATATTATCTGATTTTGACCATCGAACATGTCTGATATGTCAGATATAGCGAAATCCCAAACTTGACAGACATCAATAAAGCATCAGTAATGCATCAGCCTCAGTATCATATTTCAGGAAGTAGCTGATTTCAAGGCAGAAGTAAAAATAAATCTACCTTACAAAGATCCTTCGTAAAGACGTTTCACGTTGTCGTTATCCTCTTGATAGACCTTTGGTAATATCAATGCTGACTTATTAGATCYTGTTCTGTCACTTTAGTGGATTCATTAAAAAATTGTTTCCTATCTACAGATAACTATTGTAGACTGATTTATTACTGTAGCAGCCGATTACCTTCCAGTTGGAAGACAGTACCCTCCGACGGCCGTAMAGAGAAGTTATGCAGCAGAATGTTTTTCGCAGTTTCTCTGCAAGCATTTTTGTTGCAATTTTACGYCTTGCGCAGTAGCTTCTCCATTAATGGGTTTCGCAACGATAAACTGATGATCACCTGCTGTGCATGGTCGAGAAACTGATTACGAAAAAAAAGAAGAAAAAAACACAAATTTGTGTGTCAATATTAGGTTATTTGACTAGCKACTGAAGCTCTTTTAATTTCCTGCGTTCACCGCGTTCCAAGGCGACTTGAACGTCAGTCAGCTCATTGTGATGTCACGGGAAGCCTTCAAAAAAAATTTTTCAGCTTCCGCCACATACATTTCTTTGCAACATTAGTAAAAACGTTCCAAATTTTATAAAAGGTAACTTTCTGATTTTTTTCCTGATGAAATTTAATTAAAGCGTCTATAGGAAAAASTTATCAAAATGTATATACATATAATCATTGGTTTGATTGCCTTTTAGCAATTGCTCGGGAAAGTATTCTTACTGCGGAAATGTTACGTTGCGTCTTGCTAATTTTATATTATATTTAAAGATTAATAACATTATTATCTACATGTATTTTGAAAAACTTGACCCGGAATTCAGCCACACCTTAATTGCAAGTTTTTAGAATAAATTATCTGTCAACATGTTCAGATCTGCAAGCTTCCGACGACTTCCATTGACACTGAATTTTACCCTTCACTTATCCATCCTTCCCCTCGTTGTCTTTTGTTGGTTAGTCTGCCCATGTTGAATTGAACAGTACTTTCTACGAGATTTGCTGGACTAACTGTTGAATACCCACAGGTCAGCAGTCKTTTTATTCCATTCCTAAAAGATCTTAAATGGAAGCACAGCAGGAAAGGGTGTGACGCAGTGTCGATTAAGATGAGAATCACTGTAATGTCATACAATAGGGAACCATATGTCGCACCCGGTACAACGTAAGCAAGAAGGTAGAATGTGTAGTTTGGTARWCGACAAATTGCGTGAAATATTGTTATGATAACCAGCATTTTCGTMACTCGTTTACGCATCTTAAAGCGCGCGTTTTGYGATGCCTCCACGCTGTTATGGCGACTTGACCAAAGCGAGTAGATAACAAACGAGTAGAGTGTAAACATTGCAGCAACGGAGCTCGTTCCCACAACGAAAATAAAACTAACGTATGCCTTAGGGTCGAACCAAGAAGGCCATACCTCGAGACAGTAGTTTGTATTATTGTTGAACGAAAGTGCTGTCAAAGTTGGTGAATTAACTGAAATATTAATTGCCCAGCAAAGAGGGATAATCCATTTGGTCTTTTTAACATTTATCCTGGCTTTAAGGTTGTGTGGATACGTTATAGCTATAAATCGTTCAGCAGCGATCGTAATAAGCGCATATCCTTGGGCTGTTACTCCAATCCAGATGAACGCACCACCTGAGATAAACTTACACAACATSTCCCCTCGTAAATCKTCTTGGTGTTGAAAAGCTTCAAAAAACACATGACGGGGCTGGATGAAAATGGAGATTACCACATCGCTGATCGCTAGGTTGACTAATAAGTAGTTCATAGGTGTTCGTAACGAAATATTCCTTAATATAACGATGATAACTAGAGTACTGAACAGAATTCCTACTGTGGAGAGTGTAGCGAATAAAATTTTTAAAACTACCTCATCAGCTGCCATCACACCGGTGATGGAGTCCGTTTCGACGACTTTTTGCTCCGATGTGRCGAAGATAAGTAGTGTGCTAATCGCTAAGGTGCTGAATTAAGCGRGAAAAAAGCATTGATTATAGATGCTGACTTGTATAAGGATTGACAGTCTTTGAAAAGGACACAAATCCAGTCAGWTTACAATTGGTTTGAGCMAGTATGCACCTTAGAATRATAACGTTGTCGGATTCTAAAAGGTCGCATCATCAAAGTTAAGACCGAATGGGAACATGGGAAGGCTAATATTAAGAATGAAACAATATTTCAATGCCAAAAACCTTTCCTGCACTGATTAAAATGACCTTATATGACTAATGCTATGTTATAACATGTTTAGGCAAATATGATTTGCATTTCTGAGTATAAAATCCCTTTCGGTGTTAGCTTCGGTGACGCTTTTCCAATTAAAGATGTAGAGAGTTGACACTGTAATCCACATCCTGACGTAGAACAATGAGCTAAAGATCACTTATCAGAATCCAAACAGCTCTAATACAGTCTTTGCAATCCACAAACGTATCGGATATAGTTTTTTAATGCCAAGCTGAATGTAGTTTTATCCCAAGTTGTGTCAATAAATGGGACATGCGTGGTAAAGACAGTTCAAATTACTACTTTATATATWCATAGATAATACGTACATTTCGATCATACAAAGTATTACATCTCTCTCATAATTTCACATTCCGAGCTCATTTGGGTTATGATATTTCACAGCTACCCACTAATAGATTAAGGTACGAACAACAATTAGTGTATTCTTTTAGACACCGCTTTTCTCTTTTTTGTCGAGACRCTTTAGAAATCCAATTGTCGTCCGACGAAAAATAAAACCAATTTTATCCAGAATATATTTCTTTTCAGAGAAAAATAACCAATTCATACCAAAAAAAGCTTTTACAATTGCATTAATCTTTAATGAACAGATATATTATATAAAGCATTTCAAATTATGAAAAAAATCAATATATAACTATGAAAACAATTCTTACAAGAAGCAAAGAAACCTCGCCACTTCTTAATTTTGGCCGCAGGGCAAGAAGCTAGGCGCTTGATTCCTACAGCTCACTTGAGCTTATTCACATGCTTTAAAAAACTGCTTAATTATCCAACATAATACTTATTTTATCCACTTCTTTATTATTCTAATTCCAAGCTGACACGCTTTATGTTCAGAAATTTAAGAAAACCCCCCACACCGGATACTCAGGCAGCTTAATTTTTTCTCATTTGTCTTTTATGTCATAAATGTTTGCTTTTCGTAATTCGCAATGTACAATATGACAAAAGTATAGAAACAGCTATCAATTAGTTACGTAAAGAAAAAAAACTTTATTATTTTTAGGTCAAAATAGAAAATTCTATGCCGCGCGCGGTCGGAAAGTACAGACGGCTGAGCGCAGARTTTCTTTGTACGCTAATCGATCGTCTCGCTTTGATGCAAAGGCGTGGTTAACTTTCAAGATGGCGCAGAGAAATATGAAGAAGACTCATTTTGGAAAAGCACAAAATATCGTAAACGTTTCGTCTCATTCTCAACCGTTTCAAGTTTTAACYGAAAATASCAAATCCAGRGTCACATACTACCGTAGTAATTAAACTCAAAATTTCATAATTGGTCACAAAAGTTCCTSCTGTTCAGACATTTGGTTGCTTTTCCTGGTCAGTGAGTTCTGTCTCAAGAGTATCATCATCGCCTACTATCACAGATTGTTCATTTTCATTGTTATCCTTTTYAGTKTCATTGCAGYATTGAATCTCTTTTATAACGCATTTTTCATTGATATTTTCTGTATCATTGTTGTRGCGCTTAATTTTCTCGTCGTCTTGTAGAACAGACTTTTTGCTTTCGCTGACATTCTCAACACAAACGGTTTGTATCTCTTCTTCCTTGCTTTCWTTAKTATCTGTCAGTATACTCTCTTCACTGCCATCACCCGTTTGACTGGAATTATCAGCTCCATTTCCCCGTCTTTCCTGAGCTATAGTTTCGAGGTTTTCTTCCTCACTTTGTTCTGCTACATCTCCATTCTGTAATTCGCATGTAACATTTTCACACTCCGAGTTTTCGAYGTTCAATTGGACTGTGAGCTTATTTCCAGTCATGGGAGAMGCATTCCTGCTCGGATAACCACTGGTACTGTCGTTGACATCCATATCTTTATTTGTACGTCCTTGAACCTTTTCTATCTTTATATTTTTAAGTTCCCCTTCCGC